TTTCGCAATTTTATCTTATAAATACATTACAGAAAGACCAATAATTTTTGTTTGCGGTCCATTACAAACTGCTAAAACAATTTATGTTTATTAGCTAACGACAAGTGTGACTTACTACTACAATTTATGTAGCAAGATTGAGCCAAATTTTAACATTGAAAAAGTAATGAAGGCACCCGTACAGTAACCAGATTTGTTCATTTTTCAGCCCACCGTTAGTGACCTTAAAATTTGAATGGCATAATAATATTATATTTAATTTGATAATTTTGAGAGAAATAAAGCCAAATTTTTATACTAACTTTTGTAAAATATGTCTAAATATATCAATCATATAAAATAAGTGATAAAACTTAAAAAAAAAAAAATAAAATTTAAACAAATTTTAATTTTTTGAATAGTAATTCTGAAAAGTTATTCCAACAAATAAAAACAATATGTTAATTATTCTGTAAAATAATTGTCCGTATTATCTTCTATTATATTTCCGCATGCTACACAAATGCTTTGCTTATACAACTTTTACACGATGTACAACAAAGATATATAGCAATATACATAAAATAATAAATACAAAAAGTAATGAAAGTTACCTTTGTGAACCTATTTTTCCTTGCTGGACAAAAATAACGACTTGTACGGCATAAATATAAACATAAACTTTTTTTTTTCTTTAAGGACGTTTATTAGAAAATTTACAATATATACAGCTATATGTACAATAAGTAAATATGCGATGAGAAACAAAAATAGACAATGACAGGGCAGTGAGGAGGAGGCTCACATTAGAGCCACCTTTACATAAGAAATTTTAAATTAGGTTAATTTACATTAAGTAAGTCTCTTGACCAGTTGCGTTTGGGGCGTCTGTTTGGATTGCCCGAAAGAGTTTTTGAGTGTAGCTAAGTGACAAGTCGGTTTGGATGGCATTGCACTTTGAAATGTAGTCTTTGGTAGAAAATAGATGCAGTCTTTTTGACTGTTGCTATTTTGAGGTCTTCGTGAAGGGAGCTGTTGGTGACGTACCACGGGGCTTTGGTTAAACTTTTATGTTCGAAGTATAATATGTTAATAAGGCTTGTATTTTTATTCCGTATTTATTAGGTATTCTGGATATATATTTCCGAAAACTACATCGACCTATAAACCCTTTCAGCATTTCGTAAATTGTACAGTTTTCACCGATAGGTGTAGTATTTTAAACACTATTTTACAAATCCTTTAAATTTTGATTGAATTAGTGCTAATTTTTCAATAGATTTTCTGTCACTTCATGTTTCAATATTGTCAGATCTTAGGGCTTTAGGTAGAATATAAAATTTCTGTTCCAACATGGCCGATCAAAAATATTCTGGAAAAAACCCATAAAACCATTTGGTTTTAGGAAGTGATATATTTCTTTCGAGTGTTATACGTTTATCTGTTCTAAGACTAGGCCCACATGCTTCAGCTGTTTTATCCTGGGTATGTCGAAAGAAATTAGTTTTGTCATTATCCAGTTGTTTTTGTTACTTTCAAATTGCCAAGTACAATATGATTTATTAAAAGGCTTAACGCCGAGTAAAAAATATGTTATTGATTAAAATATTAAAATGATTAAAAAACAATATGTATAAATATACATAAATAAAGATTTTAGATTAATTTTTACCTGGTCCGCGGTAATCCGAAGATAAAGCAGGCGGAGTGACATGCACAAAAAATAAAAAAAGGTACCGAATAATTAGTATGTAGATGGAAGTGAATGCATCTATTCCAGTCTCAAGTTTTGCCATTTTATCTACCGCCCATATTTCGATAATTTCGACAATTTTTTCAACCGAAAAATATACATGGTAATGGCGCAACATTGATTACTGATTATAGTGATTAGTAACACTTTAAGTTCCCAGTGCGTTATTCTATAAATATGAATATTTCATCTATAAAAATTTGAAATAAATATTTCCATGATATTATTAAAAGCGCGTTTATCATATATGGATATTGGATACCTATAACAAATGAGAAGACGCATTGTTTTCTCATTATTAATGCATTATTAATATATTCAAACTTGGATTATCTTAAGATTTCATAATAATAACATAACAATATTTAAATTTCATCATTAGTATATGTGGTATCATGACATATTATTTGTTTTATGTATGCGGTTATCGCTATAAAACTCCGATATTGACATTCAATTAACACTACTATGATATTTCGAAATTAATATTTTAACAATATCATGCTATGTTTGTCTAATAGATATTTAAGACACGTACATAAATTAATATTCTAATTTTGACTTCAAAATGATATTGTTATGTATGCTGTATAGATATCTACAAAACATATATAAAACAATTTTCAAAATGAGATATTCTAGAGATATTAATATAATATTATGACTTTAAAGTCACGATAGGGATATAATTATAATATCATATTAATAAAAAAATTGGAACATCTAAAATTAGGTGTAGTACAAATATGTATTTGATATCAATATCAACATTTTCCTATATTGGATTTTTCAACAATTTATATAAATAATAAACTTTGATGATGATGAATCCAAATCATCATCTATTTCAAAATTTTTCACAATAATTAATTTATCGCTAGAAATGCCTACAAAATACATATTAAAAATATAAACGCAAATGGACGCCAACCATATTTTGGAAGATGATACAGAATAACATGTACTATATACCGATATATTGAATAACGATTATTTTTAGTTTTTTATGAGTTAAACTTCTTAATATATTAACATATAGGTACTAAAAATACGAATTCCTTATTTTATTAAGTTCGTAAGACAAACTCCTAACTTAAAATTACTACCTAACTTTTCGATGAAATGACTATTATTATGAATCATTCATATGTTATCGCATTTATTAGTCGCATGTAATGTTTAATATTATCTTCAGTATTATTTTCGTCGTAATTTATGCATATTCACTGTATATTATTTCTTTTTTTTTTACATAATGTACAATAAAAACTGTGAAATATATCATTATAATGAAAATGATTTTCTAATGTATTATAGAATAATAACAAACATAAAAACAATGATTAAGGTAGTGTTAAATAATAAGAAGGAAATAATAGACACCAACAAAAATATAAACAATAACAAGAAAAAAAAACATTAACAGAAAATTATCAGACGTTTTAAGTTGATCGATTTCTATATGCCTTAACGGCTCAGTGGGCTTTAAGTTCTTTATGATTTGGTGTACGGCATTCGGATTCCAAACATTCATCTTCGTCTTATAAATTATATTAGTTGTCACATTCTGAATTTGTATGGCTGGTGAAAATACAAATTGAGTGTTTTTTGATAATATACCATCGAATACTAATTAAAGAAAATTAAAATCATGTAAAACTTAAATAAATCATTTTAAAATAAACGAGGTTCAGCTTTATAGTCTTACATATGTATTTAAGTTTATTTCTAATTATAAAAATCATAAAAAAAATATTATATTAGTTTAATAAAATATATTCAAATATAGATCTCCTTGTAATAATTTTAATGTTACCATTCCAAATAGACCATGACAACTTCTTCTACGATATTTTTTAATTTTGTCATTCTGTTCAGCTCCATCTGTCCATTATCTTGGAATACTGGATCATCTTCCTTAATAATATAAAAATCAATACTATTCATATAATATGAGTTAGGCGCGTAAACAACCTAGATATAATTTAAACTAAAAACTAATCATTTCTTAAAAACCAATAGAGTGTAAGCTAGCTCAGTCCAGACCAAGCAAATTCTGAATTTAGTACAGTTTAAACCAGCACAGAAGAAGTTATCGAAGATGGTTCATATCAATTATCTGAATAATCTGAATGTGATTTTATCATAATCAAACTCTTCCATGCGATTCTGGAAATAGTATGAGTTCAGCACAGTGTAAACAAAGAACATTCCAAACCAAACATTCCAAGCTCTTTTCCGTCGAGTATTGTATTTAATATTTTGGGTGAATACAATTTCTTCTTTATTTGTTTTAATTTTATTTTCATAATTTTTATTTAGTAAATCCATTGAGAATTTGTTAACATCTGTGTCGTCTTTAGTGTTTTGATGGTTACTAAATACGACAGCAGAAAGTTTACCAAGTAGTTACTTTTTTAACCGACGTTTGAGGTCTAATGGTGCAGGATTATCAGGAAACCGCACTTCAAAATATCATTTATAGTTCACATTTTAAAGCATTCAAATACCTCAGTGTACACTCATCATTTTTTTTAATTGGAAGACATTTCAATTTCTTAGAGCTGGTCCTATATTATTTTGAAATTTCTGTGACGTTCACAAAAGCCGAAAAATCCAAGCACAGCCCAAACCAAGTACAGCATAGTTACAAAAGGAAGGTCAAGGCCGTTTTTAAAACTGAAAGTGGTCTTATCACAATCAAACGCTTCGATGCAAATCGTCGGATATTAAGAAACCAGCAAAGTAAAAAAATGATGTAGAAAAATATTAATATCATGTACAATGTAAACTTAGCAGCTAATTTTTAAAACGCGGAATAGTATGAACCATTTTCATTACCATATTGCTGCTTGTGGAGAAAGGAGCACATTTTAAGCATAATATGTGTTTGCTCTCTTGCAAATACTTCAAAATCATAATTAAAGCCCGATGCTCCACTCAATACCGTAGCTGAACCAGCTAAAGAAACTCAATTAACTTATTAATTATTAATTTATTTCTTTCGTGAAAAAGAATTTAAACTTTGTACTTTTTTTTTATAAATAATAACTATATTAATTTATATATGACTCTTTGAAAACCCACCTATGAATATGTATTAATAAATAATACAAATTATATGGTAACCATGAATACTTATAGAATACAAATGACTTAATAACATCAATAAATTTACAGCATAGTAAATTTTTTTAAATAATTAAATAGTTAACTCTACTAAACACACACACACGAGTCAAACACACAAAATAAATAAAAAATTTCGATGGACAATCAAAATAAAGTCGATCTGCAAATAGATGAAGTCGGAGAAACAGCCATTGTAGAAAAACCAATATCGACCCAAAACAACAATGATAAAAATCTGTCCCAAAATCAAAATATCTATAGCAAAGTAAACGAAGCGAAGGAACATAACATTCCTACGGCCACGGTAAAGCATGAAAACTATCTGGTGAATATTCAACCGACCAATGGAATTGAAAATGAGAAGCCCGTAGAGCAGGTCGTTAAAGAAACTAAGAGCAATGATTCGTTTAGCAATAGATATCAGCTAAATTCAAAAAATTATTTAAAAGAACTCCATCAAGCACTGATGAAAGAGTGTAAAGTACACTTATTGGATTGCTGTGCATTAAATATAACTCTGAACTCGGATACTTTAACCAGTGTCACTCACAACACGATGAAAGCAATTAAAGTAAGTTATTTTACTAAAACTATGACACATCGTAAATTCCCTAATTGTTTTTTAACAGCTTGTTTAAAATTTGTTAATTCGCGCTTGATATATATTATTCAAATTGAAAATTTTAATTACTACCTATATCAAAACATAATATTCATTAATATGTCTGTAACACAATTATAAATAGTCGTCTTGCGTTTATTACTAAAATAAATAAAATATTATAATCCATTCGGATAAAAGAGTTTTATCTTGAACATTCATGAAAAGATGTTTGATTGCAAATCATATATACTTTTTTTTTATTATTTAATGGTTATTTTGAAGCAAATTTGAATTAAAATAATTTTTGAAACATACTGACCTTAAAATTATATAGTTTAAACTTGTTGCTTGGACATTTATAAGTCACAGCGAACAAACAACACAAGTTAACTTACGTAAGCATTTTGCAAAACAATAAGATTTAAGAAAATTGTATTATAATAATTATTCATTTATAAAAAAATCTTTATCTAATTTGAGCTAAGTTATTGATAAATTTTAAAAAATACAGTAACTTTGTAGAGTTATGTTGTCGAAAAAAATTCTTATAACTTATAACTTATTAATTTCGAAAACAACGGATTAAAGAATTTTATCGGAAATATTATTAGAAACAACATTTTCATATATTAAATATTTATCAGTAATAAAATCGGGGTGATTGATATAATATTTAAATTTGATTCCACACATTATGTAAGTTAAGGTTGATCGATTTTGGGTTTTTTAGGCTCAAAAAATATTTTCGGTTCTTGGGTACTTTCCTGTCATAGTTCAAGAATTGAAAAATCGTGGATGGGTGGAAAAATACAATCCAACAAAGCCGCCACTCAACTATTTTCAATATACGAAATCTCCAAGTATTATTACACACTACGGTGCAACATCCAAAACGAATGTAGAAAAGTGTGATTTATTTTTTATTTTTAAGTCTACGCTCTTAATTGGATCGAGAGCCCGCCGTTGATGACCATGACCAACGTCAACGACGCCATATGGGATCGTTTGAAAAGCTTACAGGCTTGGAACATACTCAAAAATTACAGATCGGATTTAGTTTTTGTTACCAGGAAAAGATTGTTTACTTGGCCGAACATCCATGAATCGACCGTAGTCAGCCAGATGACCAGCCACACGTTCTGCTCTAAAGTACGATTTTATTTTTTAAAAATATGAAACTTATGTTAAATATTACCTAAAGGCGTCTCCAAAATCTTAAAGGTGATACGCTTACAGTTACTCGGATCGCCAGCTCCTCCTTCCCGTGCGTTTCACAATCATTTTGATTACATAGAAAACCAAAGAGGATATTTTTTCTCTATCACGTTTTTGTTTTAACCTACAACAATCTTTTTGTCATTATTATTAATATATATCCGTATACTTTTTACACGGAAAACAAATCATAAGAGATCAGGATAATAGAGGAGTGATACGATGACTATAAACATTTTTTTTCAGCCAGAAATTCACTAATCGACAGCACTGCAAGTGCTAGTCGTAGTGCAAAATTTGGCGTCGACCCTTCAAATTGTAAATTTTCTGTTAGAATTTAATAACACATTCCTAACCAGACATTGCTACTTTATCTGCCAATTTACAAAATGTTAATCGTCGGTGATTTTGCACTTTCTTATAAATTTGCACTATATAATCATAGTTCTTTGATGTTGTGAGCTGGACATCGTCCTAAATTCTTCCAGAACGTGAGTCGTCTTCAATTTACTACCGATCATCTTTAAAATCATTCGAAAAACATTAATTAATTTCGGACAAGTCGACAACGTCATAAAAAAACAACTGACTCTACTTAACCTTGTTGAATGTTTATACTGAGACAATATAACGGATTCAAGTTTATTGAAGAGGAGGAACACCTCTATTTATAGTTTAAAACGATATCATGCCTAAATAAGCTATAGTCACCCTCTTTGAATAAAGTTTGTACACATCACCACGTCTTTTAAGTAACACTTGACATGTAACAAAACAAAATTGTTGACTAACTGAAAACTGACGTCTCTTATCCGTCTTAGAACGGCTTAGCGCATTGTCTAGAGCCATATAGGAACAAACTCTCGACAGTCATGTTTCCAAGATGTCATTTCGTCAGAGAAAAGGCCGACTGGGACAAGTTTATGCAGGACTATTTCACGACGGCACTAGTCAGTACTTTGAAGACTATTGTAGAGGCGATTGAAAACAGAAAATTAATATTTTCTAAAGACGGCGATGTAAGTAACATTAGTGAATCTGACTTTACTTAAGTCACATTTCGTTTTTTTTATACTAAAAATTCTGGTTTTAATTTTGAAAAAATTGCGACTTTAATTTATTTAATTACAAGAAACGGAAATTTTTAAAATGAAAATCGGCTTTCCACTTATAACAGTAAAATAGCCAAATAACTCAAATCTCTTTGCAGAATTGAAATTAAATCATCCTATAAGTCGAAATTTTGTTTGGCGTTTTGGTCTAAAATAAACCAAATTTCTTTTTAATCATAGACATTTTCTTCTACTGTGTAGTTTTTACAGCCCATTCAGAGCCCTCACTGCCTCCACCAATTCCCACCACCTCCTCCTATTTTCTTTCACTTCTAGCTCGATTTCTGGTGCATTTGGATCTCGTCATTCTCAACTTATTTACTCCCATTCTTATTTTATACATATTTTATGTAAGTTATGAATACTATATAGGTGCCGTATGAAATGATTAATTTTGTGGAATGGCGTATCTATGAATACATTATAGACCAAAAGACCGGATTCATAGATAAAAAAATGTGGATTTTTGAGAATCAAACCGAAGTGTGGAACGAGTTCATGAGTAATTATTGGAAATTGATCAACAACAATGCTAATTTCCGTTGTGAATACAGCTATCAAATAGAAGTAATTATTTTCCGATTGTTATGAGTTTTTTTTTTTGAAAATATAGTAATGCCTATAGAAGATTACGTACAGAATTAGGGGGTGTCATATATATATATATATATATATCATTATTAAAAAAAATCTAATCGATCACCTTATTTCTTTACCGTACCTACAGCAAGACGTTTATGCGAGATGCAAATATTTATTAGACTGCGTTGACGTGTATCTTTCACAAAATTACATTGACGGAAACACAAACACTTGGATTATTAAGCCCACGTCGAATTGTTCTGGCCATGGTATTATAATGGCTAGAGACTTGGATAAGATAAAAGAAAAAATCGTAATAAATGGAGATTCGAGAAGTAGTTATATTCTACAAAAGTACATAGGTAGGAAACGGAGTAGTAATATCAACAACAACGACATTGTATCTTAAATATTTAACTTTTCCAGAAAAACCACTTTTAGTGTTTTCTTGCAAAATTGATCTTCGTCAGTGGTTTTTAGTAACCAACATGAATCCTGTAACTGTTTGGATGTACAAGTAAGTATTGTGTAACATGCACTTATATTGTACCAATTTCAACAACTAATTCCGACGGTTTGATTAAAAAATTATAATTTGTATAGGGAAGGTTACGTAAGGTTTTGCGCCAAACGATTTACTTTGAAAGATATGCACGAATCGATTCACCTTAGCAATGTCCGGCTGCAAATGAAATACCGAAAAAAAAGAGACGTCGGTGTCCCAGACGAATGTATGTGGGACTACAAAGAATTACAAAAACATTTGAAGTACATAGGAGATATAATTGGTTTTTATTGATATTTAAACGCATCCACTATAATTGTTAACAATTACTTTTAAGATAATTGTTAAATACTTGAATAGAAAAATAGGCCAGGATCGGGTTTGGGACGACTTAATATTTCCCGGGATGAGCGAAAGTGTTTATACGGTTATGATGGCAACTAAGAGCACGTCGTCTTATCGGGATAACACTTTTCAACTTTTTGGAGCCGACTTCGTGATAACCGACAACTTTATACCATACTTGATCGAAATCAATTCCGTGCCCGGATTGAATCCATCAACTAGCACTATTGCTAACTTAACGCCAATGTTGCTTAAAGACATCGTAAAAGGTAATCTAACTTCTAAGTACAATAATTACAACACGATCTACAAAAATATTTTTGTTTATCTGATTTTCGAGAACTCTTAAAATATAATTTAACATGGTGAAATTCTCTATCATATTTAAATTAAAGATGTTAAACGCTTTTTTGAGAACAATTTTTGGTTTTTGCATTTTTCTTCTTTGAGCTAATATTTTCTTAGTAGGGGATTTGTGTTTTACGATAAATTTTGCCTTGTTTAATAACTCAACAAATAAATGCATTTATAGTAGAGTATTCTTTTTTAAGTGATTGTCGATTACAAAGAAAACCCCGACGCCGACACGGGATTGTTCACAAAGGTTATCCCCGACACTTGGGAACGATCGCACAACGAAGCAAAGAACAAGCAAAGGTTCGAAGAAAAGTATGGTTTGTCGTTGGAGAGTCATTTCCTAAATCCATTAACCGTTTCAAACGGCACTAACACGTATGGAGGGCCAAGGAGCCAATGGGTGGAAAATGTTGCAAAAAAGTTAACGGCCATACGACTCCAATCTACTATGTATAATGACACCCGTCGGTACGTAGGTCCTAACCGCGATTTCCTATTACCGCTCAATCAGTCGCCCAGCACGGTGGTTCCGGAAAACTACTCAGAAACTTATCCAAACGAGTTGAACATAGATTCCGATAAACTAACCAAAGTTATAACAGCCAACGCAGTAGTGTCAACAGAGCCCACAGTAATTAACGACAAGCCCAAATGGCAAAGGGAAGCTATACTAGACAATTCAATACTTTCGCCACAGGAGAAAATCGATCTGCTTAAAAAAATGTATATGAGTTACGGCCGGCCACAGTACGAGTCCAAAGGAAAACCAATTCGACACAAATCTCGCAGTAAAGGATAGCGCGAAAAACAAAATGTATCTATCAACTGGAAGATTTTCTTTTAAAATATTTAAATTAAATACATTTTAACGTTTTGTCTTAATAATAACAAAGACCATAGCCTCCAATTCTATTGTTAAACATGTCGATTGGCCACTCGAACATCCTCGGTCTTTTCCATACGGTACGGAATTTTGCTCCTTTGACTCGTCTAATTGTACGCATTAAAAAAACGTATGGTTTGTTATTGAGTTTTCTACAGATTCTTGTGATAATTTTATTATTTTTATTTGTTATTTTTCGCGTATTATAGACTGCATTGAAATTAATTTCATGAAAAAATAGTACACAGCGCGCCTTCAATCCGTTAAGGTGGCCACACACTACGGTTTTATTTCTCAGTTAACCGTGTACGAACAAAATTGTCCGTTTTAGCAAAATTTTGTTCGTACACCGTTGAGCCCATTGACATAATAGAATGGACTGCGTTTTACTATGTTAACAACACATATCACAGTCAGCCGGTATTGAGTGAGAGAGATAGACTCTGATTTGTGGGCTTTCATGGTAGAAGAACTCAAATGCATAGAAAAATTAATAAAGCCGGAAAATTTAAAGTTGTCTATATTCAGAACAGAACCATAATTCTTCATTTTACTACTAGGAAATTGTATTTTGTAATACTTTTTAAAAGTTAAAAAATTTGTGTGGATATGTCTAAAACTACTTAGGTATAAAAAACTTAAAGTATAAATATATGGAATTTAAAGACTAAAAACATAATTATTAATTAAATACACTGTGCAATATTAAACTGTGTTTATTTCCAAAAACATAATTTTAATATGATATAGGTAGTTTTCTTTTAGGAAATGACTACTGCATATCACAGTATTTGTTGTTGAATACTGGAACTGTGGATTAATAGATTATATATTTTTAATCCATTTTTTTAAAAGAATGATATCCTTAGGTAATCTACGAGAAACAGTACATATATTATAATTTAATTAATAGCTAAAAAAGTTGATATAAAAATAATTAGTTTTGGAGTGAGGTAAAACACATTTTTTTTAAAAAATTGAGATCAGATTTGATAATATACATATAAGAAGTATACTTCTTAAGTATTTGAATTCTACCGCGTTAGTTGATAAGGTAGAGTACTGATAAAACAACATGTGATAGGAGAAGGTGACTAAGCCGATTATAAAGTAATTATCAGGCTTAGAACAATATTAAAAGTTAAAATAATTTGTTAAAATTAATTTGTAATCTGTGAGAGATAAGATTGTGATCAATAAACATTGAATGTTGTTTCTCATTTTTACAGGTTTGTAAATTATCTTATAAATAAGTTGTAAATAGCGTAAATAGTCTTATAATATAATAAACATATTTTTACAGAGAAACGTTTCAGTTGTTGTTATATTAATCTTGCCCCAGATTAACAATAAATAAATTACATATTATAAACATGTACATCTATAGGCTACATGCAGCATACAATCTACACAATACTAAAATAAAAAATATTTTCAACTGTAAATATTTTTAAATTTGATTTAAAAAATTAATTCTGAATCGGCCAAATACGTCGTTAAAAATAGATGTTAAGGACCATGTACTAAAAAACAAATTATATATTATCAAACATATCAATCCAATAATATTATCAAATATTATGATGTATTCAATGAAATATTAAACTTTCAATTTATAATAAATAGCGTAAAAGTGTTTACGTACAATTCGTATGCATTATGCTGAATGTCCAGGGTGACAATTCATATTATAATGTACATCATTTTATTCAAATTACTAATATTAAATATAATATAATAAATAACAATTTAATAAATATTATTTTAATAACACCGTTTTTACAACACCGAACACCGAACAAAAATCAAACTACTCAGTTTTCACTCCGTGTCCGTGTACGGTGTTTTTCGTCCATTTTAAAACCCACACACTATCCGCGTACGGTGTTCGAACTACACCGTACACGGTTCACCGAAAAATAAAACTGCAGGGTGTGGTTGTTTAATCGACCGCCCGGATATCTATAAGACGGGTTGGGTCGGATTATTAGCGTGGTTCAATTTCAATATGTTAAAGGATTCTTGAGATAAAAAGGGATAAAATGGACTGTATGGTATGTAGATAAAGAGACGGTACTGAACAATCAATAGATCATTGATCACTTGCACGTGTATCGACGTTGACTCGATGATGAACACACACATGGAATATTCCGACACACACCACCGGTCGGCTGGGCGACTTAATTATGCACCAGGGTGCATGCGGATCGCAGGGCGATTTTATTATAGCGTAATGTGCACAGGGATGCAGGCGAATCGCATGGGCGATTTCATTATACTGCGTACAGAGGTACGAGCAAATCGCTAGGACGATTAACAACACAAAATAATCTTTTGCTAATTAGCGACATAAAACCATGAAGCGAAGGCTAAGATGGCGGCGAGAGACATCGGCGCTCCCATCGGGAACCAAAAACGTTCGATGCGCACACCGGACAGAAAAACGAGTAAATGTGGGACGAGATGCGTTATATTAACGCTATCCCGTAAACCGGTGGTGGCGGCACAGGCAGTGTGGCCAATTCACCACATGCGTGTGTGTGTGTGTAAGCGAATCCAACAGTGGTCACCTTTACCGTTCGTCGTCACCCCACACTATGACCAATGAACGGCTTTCGAGTTTATCATCTATGGCAATTAAAAAAAACTTAGTTGAAGAGATTTCTATTTTTTTTTATTCAGAATGTCTATTATTTTTCCGTGACAGTATTATGTACTTTGTTTTTTCTTTATTTATAGTTAAGTCCATTTGTTTACTTTCATCCATGAGACTATGAGAGCTTCTGCCATACACTGAAGGTCGCTCTCAGTTTCGGTCAGTAATTCTATGTCATCAGCGTATTCTATTAGTTTGATAGTCTTAGATTCTTGTAGTTTTACTCCTATACCGGTGTTTAATGCATTTCTAACCACTTCCTCCAACGCAATGTTGAAGAACATTGGTGAAAGTGCATCTCCCTGTTTCAGTCCTATGTTAATCATGAATGCTTTCGACAGTTGGCCGTTAAATTTGACCATACATTTAGAGTTTTTGAACACATGCTCTTATCATTCTTGTGATTTTTGCTGGCACCCCAAGCTTTTCCATGGCTTTCCATAATATACTTTCCCGATTAATAGAGTCTGCCTGTTTATAATCTACAAATAGCATAAATAGTTCCTGGTTATATTAGTAGCATTTTTTCATTACTTCTTTGACAATATGTATTTGATCCACCGTTGATTTTCCACTTCTGAAGCCTCCCTGGTACTCCCCTACTATTTCATCTCCATATGGCTTGAGTTTATTAAGGAGGACATTTGATAGAACTATGTATGATGTATCTAGTAACGAGATGCCTCTATAATTGTTGCAATTCATGATATCCCCTTTTTTGTAGATAGGGCATAGGATCGACAAATTCCAGGCTTCGGGTATTTCTTCTTCCCTCCATGCTTTTATAATAATTTGTTCTAATTTTTCCATCACAGCTTTCCCACTCTTTCTTAATAACTCCGTTGTTATATCGTCTTCTCCGGGTGCTTTACCATTTTTAAGCATTTCAAATGCCATTTCTACTTCTTCCGTTGTTGGTTCATGTATCATTTGTTCTACTGTCATCGTACTATTGATCTACAGGCTCTGTTTGTTTTGTTTTAAGTAAGATCGTCTCAAACATTTCTCTGAATTTTTCAACTATTTCGCTTTTATCTGTAATCAATGTCGTCTGGTTCTTTGTCGTTGATGTAGCTCTTTTCCCATTGCCTTTTTTCGGTTCTTATTATCTTCTTAGTTTCTCGTTGTTTGATTACTAAGGCTCTTTGGTTAGACTCGTTGGGGGTATTTATTAGTGCCAATCTGGCAGCATCTCGTTCTTCAAGACCTCTTATACATCTGTCATTGAACCACTTTTTAGGTTTTCTTCTCTCCTCAAAACCTAGTACGTCTTTCGCTGCTTGTTTGATGGTTTTTTCTAGTTTCTCCCACAATTGATCAAGCTCAACGTTGTTGTCGTTTTTTAAATTTCTAGCTATTGTTTCTATGTAATTCTGAAGGTTTGTGTTTTCCTTTAATTTTTCAACGTTCAACTTCTGGGTAACTCTTTTCTTTTCTCTCCACTTTACCGACAGTCTGAGGTATACTTGGATTCGTACTAGAAAGTGGTCTGATATCTCGCACACGCCTCTACAGCTTTTCACATCTATTATGCAGTGTTTTCTTCTGGAATCGATCATGACATGATCAACTTTATTTTAGTTGTTCCCCAGGGACATCTATGTCTGTTTATGGATATGTTTATGCGGAAAAAACGTACTGGTTATGGTCATCCCTTTGGACGTTGCAAAAGACATTACTCTAACTCCGTTGTCGTTTGATTTATTATGGAGGCTTTGTTGTCCATCGTCGGTTTGAAACCTATTTCTTTTCCAATTTTTGCATTAAAGTCCCCTAGTACGATTTTGACCATATTTTGAGGTACTGTGTCATATAGTGTTTCTAGTTGCTTATAAAAATTATTTTTTGTCAACTCGTCTTTGTCCTCTGTTGGAGCATAGCAATTAATCAGTATTATATTGAACCATTTAGATTGAGTTTCCAAGAGGCATAGCCAATCATTAATTGACTCGAATCGCTTTATGTTGTTAAGTATCCTGTCGCTGACTACGAAACTTACTCCCCTTTCGTGTCCTTATCCTCCACTGTAGAATAATGTTGCTTTCTCTGTTTTATGGTTGCCAGATCCGGGCCATCTAGTTTCTTGAATTGCTATTATAGCCAGTCCGTATCTGTCTAGTTCAGAGTTTTATTTTGTTCAATTTTATACAGTGGTTTATGCTTTATGACATGATAGAAACATTTTACATAATAATTCAGATACAAAAAACATTTTAAATAATACACTTATAATAATAATTCACAATTCAAATATATA